TGACCTTAAGTAATCCTGGTCATGGAAATGCTAAAAAGCGATTGACCTACAAACACCATTTAGAGAAAACTCTGCCTCAGAGTTTAGTGTCACTGAAACTCTCAGAAGTACATGGAAAAAGTACAGTTTAATGTAGTAGGAGAGCAAAGTGTGAACTTTACATAAGTTCTCTTTATTATAATGTTGAAAAATAATTTTCAGTTACACAGTTCACTGCAAGTCTATAAAACTATTGCCTAAGGGTGAATACAGCATGGGCTTAACAAAAAAAAAATCAGCTGTATCTTCAGAGGAAGCATGAGGTAATTTTTTTTTTTTTTTCTTGCTTTTCAGTCCTAAGCTTCTGTTTCTGAATAATTCTGTCCTCATTTGTAGGGTAGTGATACAGAACGAGATGGGGTAGTCCCAGAAAAATCCTCTCCAGAAAGAGAGAAGAAAAAGGAACAATCAGATGCCTCCAGTTCTCCCAGAACATCAAAGCATCATTATTCGAGATCACGCTCGCGGTCAAGGGAAAGAAGGCGGAAGTCAGGTATGGACTAGATGGGAGCAAATTGCTTGTGGAGCTGAATTCTCTCAGAAGCAGTTTTGGGAAAAATAGACAGACTTAGCCCTAGTAACTTGTTAGAATTGGGGAAAAAAATGGATCTACTGACCTTTGAGGTGTATCCTAAATATTGAAACTGTTGAAGAAAAGGGTCTTATCTGTATTGAGGGGATCAGGGAAGGGGGATATGGTCAGACCACACCAAACAGGAAACTGTCCCATTTTGTTTCATTTTATTAAATAAGCATAGACTGGGATACTTTTGTATAGTTGTAACAAGAATAAGGTTACCTGGCAGAAGAACATGATTGGAGTGTGATGTGGGTTAGTTTTTCAGTGCCAGAGCTTAAATAAATGCAAAGCACTGGGACTAAGGCCAGAGATTGCTTTCTGCAGTAGAATATAGTAGAATATAGTAGAATATAGTGCTGTTGTTTTTTAAATCTTGACTTTAAGGGATGGAATAATTGAAAGGAGCTAGAAGGATTATAGCCAGGTAATCTCCTCTTTATCTTGGTAAATGACAGTAAATGTTTTCTTCTCCAGATACTGAAGGAAGAAAACACAGAAGCCGGAGCAGAAGCAAAGAGGTAATTAACACTTTGTAGCGTTTAGGTAATTGTACATCTTAAAAAGTATCTTATAGTAATGCACATATGTGTAAACTTATATAAATGACTTTATGGTAAGTACAAGAAATTGAGAACTTTAAGCTTAAAAATGGATATGGAGAGCCTTTCATAGTGAAGCATGATTGCAGCCATCATGTTGACAAGGTAATAGTTTTATAGAAAATGCTTTCAGAAACTAGTAACTTAATTTCTTTCTTTTTTTTTTTTTTTTTAATTTTTGTGGAAACATCCAAATGAGAGAGTTCATGTGGAGAAGTAGAATGGTGTTCTTGATCACTTTTACAGAGCTTCCATTATCCAAAAGCCTTGGGTGGCCTTGTTCCTGGTCAGTTTTCAGGACTTTGAATAGTACATACCTGTCTGCTTAGGTGTATTAAAAGTAATTTGCCATCGGACTGAGCTCTGTTTATTGCATCCTTTAATTGTGAAGGCTGTCATAGCTTGACAAGCAAGCTGAATCAGCTGGAAATGTGACAGTAGCAGCAAAAAATTCAGAGGGCTGTCTCTTAAAATAAATTAATAAGTGTGTGTGTGAATATATAGAGGAGTGAGCAGAGACAGCATCAATAATGCCTTAAAAATAACTGGCTCACACACTGGAGAAGAGCTGAAACAGGCAAACCAGGAACATCAAAATAGTCATAAAGAAGGTTAAGCCATGTGGGGCAATAGGCTGGAACAGATAAGGCACTTTATAACCTCAAACCTGGGTCAGGAACTTCTCCTTCCCTCATTCCAATGGAAGCTCTGTTAAAAAAAAAAAAAAAGAGGAAAGAAAAATCTAGGCGAGTTTTTGTGAAATTGAATAATATATTGTTTAGCTCACATGATAACATTTCTATAATAAATCATACTCAGCGTGCTAATGCGCGAAGAGACTGAACTGAAGACGCTGCAGACTCAGATAGCAAAATTATAAGCCTACTTCATGATAAGGTAACTATTAGTCATTCAAACTCATATTTCCCTTAAAAATATCTTAAATCCGTTATGGGATATAATGGTGGTTTTATTACTAAGTGTGTGTCTGGAAAATGTGATTAAAAAAATTCTAAGACTCTCTTTAATTATTAAAAAAAAAGGTGTTTAAAATCCTGTTCAGTGCTTTGCCAGGCTGTTGGATCTAATCTTACACAATTAGCAGCTTTTAAGTTTTGCAGAGTGAACAGATGATAAATGATCTCCCACAGTAGATGTACTGTTGTCATTCATTTGCAAGATTAAGCTCTTGTCTGTAGACTAAATGCTGAATATCAGTAATTCTTCTTAGTATGTATGTGAGAACAATTTATATATATATACACTTAAAATTACTGTCCAGGTAACCTCAGATGTAAGAACTGATTATTAAAGGAGCTAAGAATAAAATACTGTGAAAGCAGGAAAATTATCTAATATTCTTGCTTACTTGAAGAACAATAATCAAACCTTTTTAGAAATGGATACATATGAATAAAGTATTAAGCTTGGGCAAGTGGGTAAAAACCAATTATAGAATTCTCTCCAGACTCATTTGAGAGAGAGCTCTGATGGAAGAAAAGGTTTTATGAGTAGCTAACATATTTAGATAAGCAAGAAAACCAAACAACTTCTGAATAATTGGGATTTATCTAGAATGAATATATCGTGCTTAGTTTGTGACTTGAGCAGAACATTATTTAAACATAAGAATTAAGTGGGCTGTGCTTTTATGCTAGAAAAGTTTCAAAACACACTGGGTATATTAAGAAAGCGCGTTGATGTCACAACTTAGTCTCTAAGGAAAGTACTGGCAAAAATCAGGCCTGACCTTGCTAATATTTTTGGCATTGCAGCTATAAAAAGGAATCTTTTTTTTTTTTAAGAGGCACTGCAGGAAGGAATTGCGGTATAGTGGAGCAGCATATCTGTAATTTAAAACTACTGTGGGAAGTCTGAGTGATACATGTTCATTTGAAATACTAAAAATGGGATGTTAGCCATGTAAATTATCACTTTGCTTTGTAAAAACTGTTGGAAGTTACTGAAGAGAGTTTTGCTCTAGAAAATAATTACCTAATGATGACTAGAAGCTTTTTGGTTCTAAAAGCAAAATAGTTTGTCTGGAACAACGTGTCGATTTTAGTAGCTTTCTACATGGAAGACTCAGGCAAATATTAAATAATCACTACAACTGTGTTTATGTATATATATGCCTATTCATTAATTGCCAGGTTCTTTAAGATGGGTACTTAAGTGTTGGAATGGAGACAGTAACTGAAAATGACAGGTTTTTTTGTTATAATGCTGTGAGTCTTATATGGAAGCACTGTAAAGATACCTGGATGGATACCTTAAAAATCCTTTCTAGACAGTGGGAGGAGGGAAAAGGGGGAAGAATGACAGTGTGCATTTACAACTTTGGGTAGTTGGTGGCATTAGGTAAAGCAGCCGTGGCTCATGATTGAGTCACACTCCTAAGGTTACTAATGTTGCATCACAACTTAGCATTTTTACCTTCTGATACCCATACTAACTCTCTTTGTTGCACTATTTTCCTGAAAGAACCAACTTCTTCTTAAAACAGGCAAGAAGACATGAATCCAAAGAGAAGTCCTCCAAGAAGCACAAATCTGAAGATCACAATGACAAAGAGCATTCTTCTGACAAGGGAAGAGATAGCCTAAATTCATCTGAAAATGGTGAGGAGAGGCATAAACGCAAAGAGAGAAAGTCATCCAGAGGGAGGAGTCATTCCAGATCCAGGTCTCGGGAAAGGTAAGTTATTGCATGTGATTATTGTGTAAGTGCATCTCCAAAAGCCATGTTTGGAATTATTGTAGAGTTCCATTCCTGACCTAGTGTAAAGCATCAGTTTATATTGCATGTTTCAGTTTTCACTGGGTAGTGCATTTGTAGATAGTTATTTTGCTGACTACTTTGAAATAAAAATACAAAATTGCACTAAGACTTCATATAGGGATGTAGCTCACATTTATAATTGGTATAGAAAAGAGTAGAGTATTAAATGTACCTTATTGTTAGTGACAGGAAAGCAAATACATCTTACAGTGAAATGGCTCTTTACCTCCTAAATCATAAGCTTCCTCAGAGGGAGTGCTGGCCAATCCTCCTTGCCTGGTAGCCCACCCAGCATGTTCTGAGGGTAGGACAATTGCCTGGGACAAGCAGGCTGCTGCCAGCAGAGCTTCTCCCTTTGTAGCTGAGGGATGTGCAACACACAGGGTAGCGAGGAACAAACTTTGGCTAATGACAGGCTGAGGGACTGGATGTGACTCATAGGCTGCAACTTGGGCACCTCTTCCCAAAGGTCTCAGAATACCATGTAGAGGAGCAGGGTTGTGTTGCCTTGCATTTAAGGCTCCTGCATCAGAGTAGTTTGGCTTTGTATTTGTTTTAAAGTGTACACTTTAATGAACAACTAAAAATAGCAGTGTTGATGAGTATGGTTATTTACAGAAACTCTGCAGCTCATTTGTGGCTTGTGGTGGGTTTGGTTCCTTTTCCATTTCATCGTTTAGACCTACAGCTTAACCTGTTCTAGGCATTGAGCATTTCCACGTGTAGTTTGTAGTCTCTCCACTCTGCCTGATGTGTTTTGCCCTGTGGTGATGAATCCATGTGTAAGTTCTTAAGCACAAACTGCATTTGAGCACAAGAACATGTGTAAGAATTTGGGGCGTGTGTTTCAGACGTCATCGTAGTAGAAGTCGTGATAGGAAAAAATCCCGATCCCGCAGCAGAGAGAGAAAGCGACGGATCAGATCTCGCTCTAGATCAAGATCTAGACACAGACATAGAAGCAGAAGTAAAAGCAGAACTAGGAGCAGAAGCAGGTAAGTGTTACCTTCCATATACGTGGTGATGTTTGGTTGGACATTCTGTGGTGGGCTGATGTGATGGGCTTACCAGTTTGTGACTGTCCAGTGCAGTTAAATGTGTTTGGCTTTTTCTCGTCTGTACTGAGAGCAGGTTCAGGATGGGGCGGTTTGCTTGGTCTTACAGAAATATTTGTCCTTGGCAGCTGAAGCATCAAGCTCTTGGCTTTTCATAGTCTGACTTCTTGTTAGCAATAGTATTTAAGTGGAAAGAAGTGTAGAATAAGATACAGGTGACCCTTTCCTGTGTTTGATACAATAGTAGTGTGGTTGGCATACTGCTGTATTTATCCCTTCAGTTTGTGTACATAAGGTAAAAGGAAGGTTTAACTGGGAATCACTGGCTGTCAGAGCAGATACACAGATCAGAAGCTAATTCTGATATAGCTCCACAAAATCAACTTAATTTTTTCTGTGAAGTGGCAATTGGTGTGGTGTTAGGATAAATGTTGGTTCAGATGGGTTATTTCTGATATGAATGTACTCTTCAGTGTTAGTGATTACCAGCTCCTCTTTGCCAAGTGCAGCTTGAGAATATTTATCACATTAGTTTTTCTCCCCGAGTGCTTTGATTTCTTCCTTAAATTCTAGAAGCACTTGATCCAGACCCATACTGGCTTGGTCTGGGTCTGTTAGACAGAATTGAGATTCTGTACCTCACCTGGGATATGCTGGATTTGCCATTTTCATCACTGTATAGAAGTTAATGTTTTTCAATACTGATAATGTATTCAGTATTTTGGTGTAAAGTCTCTGTGTATCAACTTTGCATTCTTAATGCCCTGTAGGATTTTCTCAATGGTGAAGCTGAAATTCAACTTAATGATTGCTACAGATGTTTTGTTGAAAGTAGTTTGAAAGAAAATCAGTGTCCCTGCAGAGCTGCTAGAAAGTGTTGACTGTTCCAGTTCTCTTAATAGTATTTTCATGAGAATATTTTTAATTGTTCTATGACTGGTTATGACTACTCAGCATTACAGTGGAACATTGGAGTCTTAACCATCACAGTCGTGTAAGGCTACAACATCCTTTGTGAAAGTGTTCAGAAGACTTACCTTTCTGAAGAAGTAGTTGAATTACGTGGTTTGTGTCATGTTTTTGACATGCACTTTCCTACCAAACATTGAGCTGGGGTGAGTAGAGCTGGGTCTGCAGTTGGTACAGTTACTTGCATTTAATGGATGGTATTTAAGCTACATTCAGCATGTTGTGCAAGGCTTCAGCTCCCCATTTTTTCCATTTACTGTATATAATGTGCTGTGTTTAAAAGTCACTTTGAACATTGTGTGTAATGACCCCATGAAAACTTCATGTCCAAGAATAGATTTTGGCTTCTGCAGTGGAATTCAAATTACCTGAAACAGAACATCGAATGTGGGAAGAAAGACTAAAGGATAATCATAGCTTAGGCATTTCTCCAACTGGGAACAGGCCTTGTGGGATGCTGGTGGACGTACTGCAAGAATCCTTTTAAGTTATGTTTTTGTCTCACAAATCCTGGAGAATGGAAGTAAATGAGGCATAAGTTTTTTTTTTTATCTGGAGCTAGAACACTTCATCAAGTTCAGGGCTCAGGCAAAGCCTGGAAAAGATGACTTATGGGGCAGTCATCAAGGCAAACTCTGCACAAGCCAGATAAATGTGATGTGGAAATCTACCCTGTTAAAACTCACCTGTGAAAGGAATTCCCTCATGCCTGACATGCAGTTTTTGTTGTGTTGCAGTGAGCAGGCTGTGAGAGAAGCATTTGTAAACAGCAGAGCTTGACCTTCTCTTGATGTTTGTTTGCATAATCTCAAGCTCAGAGTTTCAGGGGATTTGTTCTCATGGGCATTTAAAGCAATTTTTTGGTTTGTGAGGGCATAAAACCTCCTGACAGTTCTTCAGTGGTTTGGCTCTGATTAAATGCTAGGTGGAAAACGTGACAGCAGCTGCTTGTTTCAAATGGAAATACTTCAGTTCAAAAGCTCAAATATTTATTTCCTTGATGTTTACCAGTGCAATAAAGCATCACAGACCAAAGACAAGACCAAACAACAATAGTCAGCACGGGAAAAATGAAGGTATCTTTGAAACAGGCATTACATCTTATCTCAGGAATGCAGATCTGTCACTTCCCAGTGCCTGAATCTGCATCTTGTCATCTTCTCTGAAAAGATAAGTCTTGCCTCCTTTGTATTCTACCAGATTTGTCATGTAAACAAGGATCTTTTTATAACTTCAGTCTGCATTTCATGGTGTTTGTAGATGCTGTCCAGGTTGCAAACAGAAGAAAGAGAATATCTGAATGCCATGGAAAGTGGCTGTTGTCAAGTTAGCCATTAGCTAGCTGTTGCCCCAAATGAGTGATAGTAACATTTAAGTTAAAAAAATTACAGAAACACCTTTGTGCATATCAAATTACTGGTTGTGGCAGATCTGGGAAGTGTGAGTGATAGCTCCTGTGAATTAACCTTTGTTGAGCCTTCTTTGTTTGAAACACCAGTGTCAGAGGCTTAAACTGGGATAAACCCATGTCTCTTGTACTGCAGATATTGATGATCCTGGCACAGAGAACTGCTGCTACTAGCACTTTTTATATGTGTTTTGGGTAGCTGTTGTTTAGCTGGGATTAGATGCAGATGTCCTAAAAATATCTCTTGCTTGGAAGGAGGTGTGGAGAAGGTTAGTGAAGAAGAGTTGAACTGATTGTTTTGGTATTCTGCTTAAAAATACATTTTTTCTTTTCAGATGGTCAGGCTCCAGGTGATTCATGCTTCAGGGTTCTTTACCCATAAGAAACACAAGACAAATCCCGTGTTCAGCTTAGTAGAGTCCCTCAAAGCACATTTAGGGAAGAGGATACAGAAGGGAGAGTAATAGTAATTTCCTGAAGTACTATTCCACTTCTTAAATGGGGCCTCTTCAAAATGCTTCCTATTTACATAATTACAGTGCTTTGAGGTCTCTTATGGTTTAAAAACATTCTTCTAGCTTGACTCATTCAAGTTCTCTTGCAATTTTTATGAGAAATTAGATGATTTTCCTTCGGATTTAGAATCTCTAGAGCATATCTATTTGTTCTGAACCCTGAGTATGAGAGAGTAAATGAATACCCAGAATTGCACATTCTGTTACAGCTGGAAATCTTCAGTTTTAGCTCTGTGTTCTTACAAGGCGACTGTTGCAGTATAAACTCTCTGAAAGCTTTTCTTGAGCTCCAAATGAATAATAAAGCACATTTCCAAAGCTGTGATCAAATACTTTATGAAATATTAAGCTGCATGTGTACCTTCATTGTTTTACCAACTGTTAAATTTGGTTACAGAGAGCGAAAGAAAAGAATTGAAAAGCCCCGAAGGTTCAGCAGGAGCCACAGCCGGAGTCCGAGCCCACCACCTTTCCGGGGACGAAACACAGCTATGGATGCACAGGAAGCCTTAGCCAGAAGGTCGGAAATTGTGGTGATTTTAGTGATAGGTGATGTGAATAAGCTCCTAATGTTGATTTTGCATGTCTAAATATTTTTATTTTCATGTATCTCTAGGCTGGAAAGAGCAAAGAAATTACAAGAGCAGAGAGAGAAGGAAATGGTGGAAAAACAGAAGCAACAGGAAATGGCTGCAGGTAGTGCATGTGTATTAAGTGAATTCCTCCTGAGCATTAGTAGGAGTGGAAGATAGATTAGAATTATGTTACAGGAGTGTTGCAGTCTTATCCAGCAGATGGGCAGGTTGTCTTTATGGAATTGTTAATAAGAAAAACACCAAGAGCTAGAAAATGTTTAAAAAACTCAAAACTAAAAATAAGAAACAAAACCCCAACAAAAATGATTGAGATTTCTTCTTACTTGCTGAGTGTACAAGAAAAGTGTATGTTGGGCTGTTAAATGATTTCCTGATGGTCATTGGGCTGCTGTTTGCTCAGGGCTATTTAGAACCACAAGCTGCATTAGTTTCACTTGTAGTTTCTGGTTTACTAAAACTCCTGAAGACATGTTCCTTAGCTGAGAAATCACATGTATTTTATCATTCATTTGTTACCTGTGCACTTCCAACTTCTATTAAAAGGAAGTGTTTGAGGGGTTTGGCTTTTTTGTTTGGCTCTGGGGCAGGTTGGTGGTTGGGTTTTGTGTGTGTGTTGGGGTGTTTTCCCAAAGTCCAAAGTTCTTTCTGGCAAGTTCCCTTTGTTCCTCAGCGGCCGCAGCCACGGGAGGCTCTGTCATCAACGTCGCCGCTCTGCTGGCCTCGGGGACACAAGTGACCCCTCAGATCGCCATGGCAGCTCAGATGGCAGCGCTCCAGGCCAAGGCACTGGCAGAGACTGGCATAGCTGTGCCCAGCTATTACAACCCAGCAGCAGTGAACCCCATGAAATTTGCTGAGCAAGAGAAAAAGCGGAAGATGCTTTGGCAAGGCAAAAAGGAAGGGGTAATGTTGGCTTTTCTTTCCTTCATGAACTTATTTTGGAATATCTTGCACTCAGTTTAAGCATGCTGATGAATGTTATTTCCAGCTTTTAGCTCTTAGCAAGTTTTAATATCAGCCTGAAATAAAACTTCAGAAAAACTAGGAGTTGGGCTTTGATGATCTTTGTGGGTCCCTTCTAACTAAGAATATTCTGTGATTTAGGAGTGAAAGGACTAAGATAGTTAGTCCTTCAGTGATAAATAGTTGTGACACAAGACTCAGGGAAACCCTGAATGTCATCAAGCTTTAGAGGTATAGTTGGATCTTTTATGTTATTTTTGTGAGTTTACCTACAGCTTGCAACTAAACAAATGCAGATGGTCTCCCTTTACTGGGAAGGCATGGCTGAGGTATAGAATGTATAACCTGTCTGGGACTATGGAGATTTCTCATGTGATGGTTGTGTTTTCTCCAGTTGCAAATTTCAAAGGCAAGTCTGTTGACTTTGCTGGTAACTTTTCAGGAGCAGAGAAATGCAATATTAACCTTAACAAAAGTCATAAATTACAAATAAGCTTTCAGGCTTTTGTGCTCTGTCAAATGCCTTTGCAATTAGTGAAGTAAGAAAGGCATCTGTGGCAGTTGCTTTTTCAGAAACTTGCTGGATTTCAGTAGAGCTTTTGCCTGCTGATACAGTGGAAAAATGGTCACTTTAATATTTGTATTTTTGTCTTTTGTTCCTCTGGTTATAGAGGTGTTTGTTAGGCTGGTTTCCATCTTGCAGCAGTTACACAACAAGCTCCCTTACCTTTACAGGCTGTTCCATAAGATGTGAAAAACAAACCAGTTTCCATGGCAAAGGTGGGAGACAAAAGGGAGGGCAGGAGAGCCCTCAGTGCTCTCTGAGCAGTTCTTCCTGAATTGTGCTGTATATTGATGAATTGCAATAAACAAATTCATTTTTCCATCATTTACTTCAAATTTGAATTCCAGCCAGGCTTCCAGACCTTTGGAAATGCCAAAGGAAGGAACATATATGTGTTTTGAGCATCATGGTTAGGAAGGCTTCCCTCACAAAGAGCTCCTGTGAGGGTGCTGCAGGAGGAATGTCAGACTTGGAAACCTTTTACTTCCAGCTCTGGTACAGAATGGGTTTGTCTTGAGTACTGCTCTGTTGTGCTATTAATGGAATCTTTTTTTTTTTTTTTTTTTTTAATTTGAACAGGATAAATCACAATCTGCAGAAATATGGGAAAAACTAAATTTTGGAAACAAGGACCAAAATGTTAAATTCAGAAAACTGATGGGCATTAAGGTAAAGCATTCTGAATATGTAATTAAGTTTATTAATTGCAAGATAATGATTTCACTTTTTATTTTACTGTACCTTAGCCAGTAAAGATTTTAAGCTAATCTGATGTAGTTAAGAGCTTTTAAGTATTTATTAAGCTCAAAAGCAGCATCTAAAGCTGAACTTAATTAAAAAATCAATTGGGTGAAGGCCTGTGTGTTTCTTGAGAGAGATCTGCACCCGAATGTTGCAGCAATAAACCAAATAGTTCAATTCTTACTCTTACAAGAATTTGTGAACCTCACTTGCCCAGAGCTGATGTTTGTGTTGTGTTTCCAGAGTGAGGATGAAGCTGGCTGCAGCTCCGTGGATGAGGAGAGTTACAAAACACTGAAGCAGCAGGAGGAGGTGTTCAGAAATCTGGATGCACAGTATGAAATGGCGAGATCACAGACTCACACGCAAAGAGGAATGGGATTGGGGTTCACATCTTCCATGCGAGGAATGGATGCAGTTTGAAAAATGAAAAAGCAAACAAAAAAGGCTGTTTTGAATTTTGAGACTGTGGAAGGTTCTTGTTCACATGTTGGGTCCTTGTTCACCAAAAAGCTAGCACTCTAGCTTGCATGGGTGTTGCATTGACTTTAATTTATTGAAAAATACAATTTTTTTGTAAATATCAGATTAGTGATACTGGTGTTAGTGTTGTAATCAGGTTATACCCACGTCCATTAAACTTGACAGAAATAGAGGAGGACAGTATTTTTTAGTTAAAGTTCTACTTTTCAAACTGAGCAGCAGATGGGAAGAACTCATACATGGATATTTCGTGTCCACTGTCTTGTGTACTTTTGTACTTTAACCTTGTACAGTTATTTTCAATTCTTGAAACATGAAAGAAACATTGTGTAGATGTTATTTAGCGGTCTGGGCCAATAGGCACATAATCCAGTGCAAAAAAAACTGGTTAATAATAAAGACTTTTTTTTCTCTAAGGTCATATAGTAATTTGTCCTTTGGGCCAAACTCCCATAAACCACTTAGGAGAAGGGAAAATTTAAGGATGTTGAAGTAGGATTTGCCTAAAATTCTGCAGTGAGGGACTTTGCTGGAGATAGCCTATTTCAAATACTTTTGGCCTGCACGGTGCTGCTGCTGCATCTCTCTGCGCCGCTCACCCTTTCTCAGAAGAGGAAGAAAAACTCCAGAAGCAGGAGCGGTGCCTCCATTGCGAGTACAACAAGCGCTGAGGCGACTGCCGTGCCGCCTACACCTCCCAGCGTGCACCGCGCCCCGCAGACCCCCGACTCTGTGTTCCGGCGCCCCGATGCGCGCTGGGAGTTGTAGTCCGCGGCATGCGTCGTCCCACCCGCCCCGCGTTTCCCGCCGCCCTTTGCCCCCGCCCCGCCCTTCCTGCGGCGGCCAAGATGGCGGCGGAGGTGGACTTCGGGGACCGCGAGCTGTTCGGGCAGCTGGAGGGCGAGCCCGGGCCGCCCTCGCCGCCCGCCCTGGAGGAGCCGGACCCGCTGCTGCAGCTCTACGAGCGGCTGCGCGACCGCGACGAGACGGTGCAGCGGCTGCGGGCGGAGAATATCCTGGCGGGAGAGGCAGGGCCCGCGCCGGGGCGGGGAAGGCGGGCTCGCCGCTGCTGCCGGTTCCCTTCCGGGCCAGCCGGTCCCGGCCCTCAGGGAGGCTCCGGCTTCTCCCCGGGGGGAGGATCCCTCAGTCTCCGCCGAGGCCCGAAAGGGGAGAGAGCTGAGCTGGCCGTGAGGGGAGCTCCTGGTGCTCCCAGGCTTCCTCAGAGCACGTTTTCCATAGAAACTTTTATCCCCAGAGCGGCAGGGCCCGCCTCAGGCCCCGGGATGCGCGGCCGGCTTTTGAAACAGCTGTCGCTGAATCCTTGCCTTCTGCCTTTTAACTCATCTACAGATAATTTCAAATAGTTGAATTGTGACAGGTTCCCTAAAGGCTTTTTGGGTTTGCCGCTGCAGCAGAGTGGAATCTGAAATGTGTTGTATTTCCCATTTACAAGTACATATATACCACCATTACTTTTATTTTGGCGATGATCACAGATATTTTAAAAATAAAATACTATAAATCTGTTAATATAATCATTTCATGTAGTGAATGGCACTATTTCGACTGTCATAGCTAGTCCACTTTTCATTTGTGTTTTTTTCTTTTTTCCAATTCATTGTCTTTCTCCAGCGACAGGAGGATTTTTAAATAATCCCCTGTGCAGTGAAAGGGAAGGACTGAAACCCTATTTGTTGTTCTGTGGAATTCTTGTTCGGTGTTTTCTTGCTTGCTTTGTGTGTGGGTTTGTGTCTTCCAAAGAAAATCATAGTCCTTAACAATAAGTTAACATCAGGAACTTAAAAGGAAGCTGAGAATTCTGACCCGTCCTAGGTATGTTAATCCTGACTTGAAGCACTGTATGAATTACATAGAGAAAATATATTTATTAATATTTATATATAAATAGGGTTTATCTAAGAGAAAAGCTGTCTGTGGGTAACAATCTGCCACATCTTGTTTCCATGTCCCAGCCCCTGCTCAGATGTTGGGCTTCTAAAATGCCATTCCAGTTCCTGCAAAATCTTTTGGAGTTGAATAGCAGGAGC